TATTCTCATGAAATGGATTTCTAGACCAAATTGGTAAAGACGAGGAAGTGAAAGAAACTATTCTGTTGGAACAGATTTTCAGTAGGAGGCGTTTAAGCAAATGATTTAGTTTCACACGTGATTGAAATTCATGGCATATATACGAGAGTCATTTAGTTTGGTTTGTTTAACAGCACATTAACTCTTTATAAGCCATTTAATGGCGAAATTTAATTTTCTGGGAAGCTGTGGTATTTTTTTTTTTTCAAAAATTTATTGCTCGTAATTTTTTTCTTCCTTTTCCAATAATGCATTGATTGCAATTTTTCTTGCTAAAAAATGTATTTTTATACTTTGGAGGGGGGGGGTTAACTATTTACCCAAAGTTGGGACCCCAACAGGTGCTACCACCTCGAGTCTGTGTGAACCTGGAAACAACAGCAATTAAGAGTTGGTTACACGCTCCGCAGAACCTCATGATCAGAGGCCTTGCTGTCAGATGTAGTTTATCGTCATACGATGATACCAGGGTCGTTCAAAAAGTTCCAACCATCACCTAGAAAGAAGAGCCATAGCCGAACATCCGAGCGTTGTAAGACATCTAAAAACATTTGGGATATGTTAATCGCACGAAGTTCGCGTGTCTTGCGAATTATAGGAAGAAAATTTCCTGGGTTGCATTTCCATCTACGATTCACTGCCCGAAAAAAAAAATGCCCAATATTTTAGAAGAACAATCACAGGCGATGAAGAATAGAAAGTTTACAACAATGTGAAGCGAGAAAGATCCTGGGGAAAACGAAATGAACCACAGTTAATTAATCTAAATCTGAAGAAAGTGATAATAGTTTAGAAGGGCGTTGTGTATAACGAGCATTTTTTTCCGCAAAATTAGACGTTGCATTCAGATTTCTTATTCTATGTGCCGTATTCCTTCAGGAGCTTGGCGATCTTGACTCTCCACAACTTCCTGTCATCTGCATCTCTTAGTAGTTTTGTCTTTTTGCTGTCTCTCCTAATCCCTGTTCTGTCAACCATTTACCCAAACTCGATAGGTTTTTCTCTGCTTTTCCTCTGTACCTCTTGCCGACAACATTTCCTTTGAGTGTTAAATTTCCCAAACCGTCTTTCCTCTTTATGTACTATAGAAATTACAATTGTCTCTTTCTGATTCTAATTATAAGTGTCCCTTTTGTTTTCATTTTCTCTAAAACTTCGTTGTTTTTCACATGTTTAGTCCATGGTATTCTCAGCATCCTTCTGGAGAACCACTAATCTGTTTTCTTTTCTCTTCTTCATTTGTGATGAGATTGTCCAGAATTCATTATCATATAGAAGGGCTGATATTACATCACATTCCGGTACTCTTTTCTTTGTTTCTAACAAAAAAATCCCTGTTTCTTGATACTTTGCTTAGCTTTTGAAGGTATATTTCTCTATCCCAATAGATTTCGGTGTCGTATTTTCCGTCCTCTATTAAAACACTTCTTTATTTACATTTTTGTACTTGCTTGATTTTGATGTCTCAAAATCGTACTTCGCATCTGGGATTGTTCTTTTTTTTTCTGACAAACATATATACTATCTTGATAGTTTATCCCTTCTTCTCGCTTTCCTTTACTACATTCTATAGAATTTCTTGTAGTGCACTTTCCGTGTCGTCCTGGGTATGACGACAAACTACATCCGGCAGGAAGGCCTCTGATCAAGAGGTTTTGAGGAGCGTGCAACCACCTCTTAATTGCTGCTGTTTCCAGGTCCACCTTGACTCAAGGTGGTAGCACCTGTTAGTGTCCAAGCTATGGGCAAATAGTTGATATATCCCAGAAAGGGATATATTTGTTCGAAGTAGAAAAGTGGTTTTGTACTACTGTAACCGAGTAGGACAATCTAGCAGGTAACCGTAATGGGCTGGTCCTCATCGTAGTGGTAGGCAATAGGCGTAGCCAATAGGCGTCGTCTTGTACCTCCACATCAGTCTGTAGTTATGGCTGACACCAGCCAATCATATTACTGTGAGGGGGAACCTAGGTGTATGCATATTCATTACATCAATAGTTAACACCCAAACTGGGGTCAAACCAGTATGAAAGTGTAAAAATAGTTATTAATACCATCAATATATTTTTTGAAAAATATTATTACTAGCAATGCATTATTACCAGCAACATTGTTGGTATTATTGAGGTTAATACGCCGTAAAAAAAAGAAACTTTCCGTGGTTGCTATCAACAACATGTCGTCTGCATATTACTTATTGTTAAGATTGTGTCCACCAATAATAAATCCTGGTAGGACTTTTAATTCCCTCAGAATTGTCTCTGTAAAAATTGAATACGTCCGGTGAGAAAACTTATCGTCTTACCCAACTATGTGCGTGTATTTACTTAATTCCCTTCAGTATCTGTCTATATTTCTGAGACGAGGTATTATGTACACTATTTACATTACTCGAACTATTGTCCCCATCTTTGTCGCCATATATATTACAACGTTTCGGCCATTCAGTATCTGTCTATATTTCTGAGATGAGGTATTATGTACACTATTTACATTATTCGGACTGTTGTCTTCATCTTTGTCGCCATATTTATTATAACTTTTCGACTGTTGTACGCTCCAGACTTCTTCAGGTGGTTAAATAAAATAAAGGGTTCAGTTCGACATTCCAACTACCTAAAGGAGGCCGGAGCGTACAACGGCCGAAACGTTGTAATAAATATGGCGACAAAGATGAGGACAATAGTCAGAATAATGTAAATAATGAATTCCTTTCCTATTCCTCTGCAGGCATGAACCTCTGTTTTGATCCAATATATCAGGAAAAAACTAAATTTCATTGAAACAATTTGATCGCAAAAGGTATCTTTCAAATGTAACCATATATACATCTTAATAAGGCTTACTGTCATAGCACCTTGAAACACCGGTTAGCAGACCACCGAAGTTAAGCAAAGTCGAGCCTGGTCACTACCAGTACCAGAGTGACCGCTAGGAAACGTCAGGTGCTGTAAGCTTGGATGTGTGGATGGGGCATTGGATAACGATTCGGAATTAGAAATCGGAGAACAGAGTTCGAATTCCACTTACGCGCATGAATCGAAAAGGTACATGGCTGCCCAAGAGTGTTGCATCCTCCATTATTAACACGCATTGGGCCAACGAGGTAACGTAAAGGCCCATTCCTCCCTATGAATAAAAGGAAGGCCAACGATCAACCGAAGACATTGACAGACTGAGAAGAAGAAGAAGAAGAAGAAGAAGAAGATGTCTTAAAAAACGGAAATGACCGGGACAGGAAGTGATTTGAGTTTTCTCCATTAGTTCCTCACTTCCTGTAGAACGAATATAAACGGGGTTTTGTCCTGCAGCTCGCTTCAGAACTGGAGTTAAATAGAAAGTAGCATTTGCTATTTTCATCATTTCAGAGAAATCAGTCGCTATGATTAAGATTAAAGTACTTAGGGAGAACCTCATATTAAAAGATTTTAAATGCCCACGATGAGGCGAAAGGCTACAGACCCATATCTAAACAATTTCATTTGCCAGTTCCATCTGTCCAAAGCATTATCAAGAAATTCAAGAATGTTCACTACGTGAAAAAATCTCAAGATACCTTAAAGCAAACACAAGGTATGACCTTTCAGCTGACCTTTACCAAAAGTGGGCCAAAATATCGAGATAAAAATTGTTTAAATTTTCTTCAGAAACAAACAAAAAAAAAAATGTTCCGAATTCTAGAAAAATTAAATAATTTCGCCACAAGTAAAAAAATAAAGCTGCTAAGATGCAAGTGGTTACTGAGTCTGAAAGAATAAGCTACTTGATTTGTTTAACGACATTATGGTTCATTTAATACCGAAATTTAATTGGTAGCTTTGAATTAATAAAAATGATATATTATTCTGCTTTCACATTTGAATACATGGTAGATGATACTCAGCTTTTATGAAGATACATGTTTGTGTGAACATGATTACTAGAGGTGGTAATGTGTGTTATGTTTTTTAAGTTATGTTTTGGAAATTGTAAGATATTATATGGATTAATGCCATGAAAGTTCATGTTGGTTGTTGATTTTGTTTAGCGGCATATGAACACATATATGGGTCATTTAATTCTAAAATTTAAATAATTTGAAGACAATTTTATGGCTTCAACTACGGAAAATGTATTTCTGATATTTTTTACTACAGAAATGTATTTTTATACCTTCATTGTACAGTATATAGATTATATCATAAAGAAGTAATTATACAAAGAATTAATTGGTAATATTGTGATTAATGGCGAAATCACTTCGCTAACAAGACTTAATGAGACAGGATTGTATAACAGGATTGCTCGACAGTAAATTGCTCAAAAGCAATTGCTCGACAGTAAATTGCTCAAAAGTAATTGCTCGACAGTAAATTGCTCGAAATCAATTGCTCGACAGTAAATTGCTCGAAAGCAATTGCTCGACAGTAAATTGCTCAAAAGCAATTGCTCGACAGTAAATTGCTCAAAAGCAATTGCTCGACAGTAGTTGCTCTAAATCAATTGTTCGACAGTAAATTGCTCGACAGTAAATTGCTCAAAAGCAATTGCTCGATAGTAGTTGCTCTAAATCAATTGCTCGACAGTAAATTGCTCGAAAGCAATTGCTTGACAGTAAAGTTGTGTGTTGTGGCTCCTTTTATATCCTGCTCCGTTGACTTGTCATGAGACGGCGTAGTTTACATGGTTCTTCGAGCTTCGAAATTACTTCAATCAATCTGCCTTTCAAGCAATTGATAGTTTGAGAAATTATTTTTCGAGCAATTGATTTCGAGCAATTTACCTAGATCCATTGACGATACTGGGCCGAGTACTTTCGACATTTACAAATTGTCAACTCCAGGACGTAATATGTGTCTCCTATCAAAACTGTGTCATCCGCTTATCTTATATTGTTAAGATTGTGCCCGCCGATAATAAATCCTGATAGAACTTCTAGTTCTCTCAAGACTCAACCTAATATAAACATTATAACGAAAGTATCAGTCTAAAGGTTCGAAGAAGTAGTAGTAATGGAAAAGACAAAGAAAAATATTAGCAGTAGAAGAAGTAGTTGTGGTTGTAGAAGAAGCAAAAGAAAAGCGTTTCTTATAAAGAGAGAAAAAAGAAAAAAGAAGTAAATCTCTCAGACGGTTCTGAAAACGGTAGAATATGAAAAGTCAAGATGAACGATGTTGACATTTTGCTACTAGTATTGTGAGGTATTGAACCATAACGAAATTTTCCTGTGGGACCTTTGATTAAAATGTTACAGCCAAGTCTACTTGCCATTCTGAAAATGTATCTGATTTTACGGTGAAATCGATGTTAGCTACAGGTTGTTCACCATTTAGCGCAATATCGATTTTCCGATCATCCATTTTGAGCGACCAACAAAGACCAAAGAGTAATAATACAGGAACGCCTCACAGATCTAACAATCAAGCTAGCAAAATGTCACTGCTACGTCTCTGCAACGTTAGAGATTGCAAAAAATGTTGGTTTTGTAGACTTTTCCAAAACGAGTCCTTATATCTATATTGCTGTAGATTGTTTAAGGTTTAATGCAATATCTATTTTTTACGATGTATCTGATCTCAGAACCGAGTTATATCATCCATTGTTCCTGACCAATAGAGATCAAATAATGATAATACAATAACGATCCTCTGACCTAACAATCCAACTAACAAAGTGACGTTCCTAAAACGTTTCTGCAACATTACAGAGGAGACAAAAATGTTTTTTGTAGACCCCTCCAAAATGTGCCCACAGCGGTACCTTATAATGTCAGATATACCGTATTTACTTTCGCATATCACACACTCTTGCATAACTCACCCATTATTTTATAAGGATATTTTTAAAAATTACTATGTTTCATCATATATTTATTGAAATATATTTTAAAGTAGTTTTATAGTGGAGAATGTAATATTGTTGGGTGCTTACATCTCAACATCTCTGGCCACTTGGGAAAACTGTTCACAAAGATTAAATAATATGAATCATCAACCCTAGAAGACTAGCGCAAATTTTCCTATTTTTAATTACAATTTTCAGTACCTGATTTTTTAGCTAAATAATGTTTTTCAGTTCCTATTAATGTTAACTCAAAGTACAAAGTTTAAAGTGCCTGCATGTAAAATATTTCAAATAAAGATTTATATTTAATTTTCTTTTGTTGATATTTTAAATATCAGGTATGATATACCCATGGTTAGCAGTGGTGTAACTTTAATTGATGGTTAGTGTTCTAGGGTTAAGGGGACCAGCAAAGTCAATATACAGACGTGACCATGGGCTGTCAGTTTCTGGCCATAGGTTTAATTTTATTGGTGGTGCTTTTGCTGCCAAAGCACAGCCTTTGCATGACTTTAGCAAACATTTGATGTCTTTATACATGCTACGCCATTACACATAACTTCTCATTAAGCTTTTCATTCTGGATATACCAGGGTGTCCTGTGTAGAATTCTTTCAGGATTCTTTTCTGTAGTGATAAAGGTACCATTGCTCTTTCGTTGTACATGATAACGTCATTGCAAATTAAATATACCTTCAATTCTGTTTTAACGATGCAAAAGGTACATTCCTTTTCTTTTTGAAAACTGGTTGTACATTTTCCTTTAGCTCAAATTCCATTTTATTACACCTGTCTAACCCACCTGAACATACCTCTGGGAATTTGATTTTCATTTCTTTCTTTAAACTTTCTCTTCGTTGGTAAAACCTTTAACTTAACAAAGCGAACTGATCGAACTGTTTCATAACTAAATTCCTCCATCCAGTCAGTTCCAAAAAGGCGATTTGTATTTTTCATTAAAGCCTTAATTTCTACGTTTTTCCGTTCAAAGTCACATTTGTTATAAATTCCTCTTCGAACTTTATTTTCTGTCCTGTAACACTACAAGCATGAAAATACATTATTGTACCAGTAGACTGGAAAAAAATATAAAAAATACATTGTAAATTTAACCTTCAAAGGTGATGTGATGGAATAACCAGTCACCCCCATGAATGATTACACTATAGGTAGTAAGTACCTATAAAATCAACTGTCTAAGAGAGAGAGAGAGAGAGAGAGAGAGAGAGAGAGAGAGAGAGAGAGAGAGTGTGTGTGTGTGTGTGTAACCTCAAGTTTCTATGCTAACAGTTTCTTTTCTCGCACTTCGCATTTGTGGGACTCTCTTCTTGCTCCATGCTTTCCGGTCAACTTTATCTACTGTCTTCTTGATTACTCTTCGTCTGTATATATATATATATATATATATATATATATAAGTATATTACAGAAATAAAGTCTGTAGCTTAATATTACAAGACATGTTAAAAACGAAGCATCCGGTTTCACTTCCGCTCTACGGGAGATTTAACTTAAATATTAAAACAACAGAATGTGTAATGAGAAGGAGAAATAATTGAACACAAAGAACCAGAGACAAATAAAAGCAAGCCCCAGAAAACATTCACGCTGTTTACAGAGGGAAGGCTTGCGGGACCCGATGTAAAGTGCCTCCACTGTTAAATTATTAGCTAAGCATGATGCTAAGTTGAAAATATTGGTACATAAGCAATATGGAAGTACAGTAGGACCGAATTTAAATAATATTGTAAATTTGTCTTCCCATGAACTAACTGAGCTTCGTTTGTTCTTGCTCATGGGCTGGATTTTTGTATTCCACCCTCTATGCCTGATAAGGAGGAAAATTTTTCTGAGTTCGAGGTCCTCTATGCTCATCTGGCAAGACTTTCACCTACTTCTGCTGATGTGCTTAGTGATTTAAAAGCCCAATTAAATAATTCTGCACACATGTTTGCTAGTTCCTCTGTTGCTTCAGCGAAATCAGAATGGAAAGCAGAATATCAACGAGTTATTAATTCATTGAGGAATACTTTTGATCTTGTAATCTCCAGACCGGATAAAGGTGCTGGTGTTGTCATTTTAGATCGGGCAGATTATGTGGCTAAGATGCCTTCGATTTTGAAAGATACTTCTAAATTTATAAAGCTGGGATCTGCTGATACGTGTGATGCAACTGCCTCAGGGGAAATAAAATTTCAGAAATTACTCTTGAGGTGTGTAAAAACTGGGGTTCTTTCACAAGAAATTTCTAATGAAATTCGAACGTCTGGGTCGATTCGTCCCCGGTTGTATGGGCTTCCAAAAATCCACAAGGATGGGGTACCACAGAGACCAATTCTGTCAATGGTTGGTTCAGCCCAACACAAGGTATCCAAATGGTTCTCATCACTTTCGCCCAATTTTGCTTGACGACAACGCACGGCTGCACGCTTCTCAATCAATTGTCCAAAAGCTGTCTAGCCTGAATTATAAAAAATTGCCTCATCCTCCATATTAATCTGATATCTCTCCCACTGATTATCACTTATTTAAGTATTTTGAGCTTTTCGTACGCAATAAAACATTCTCCAATAAGGAAGAGGTAATCGAAGCATCTGAACGGTTTATTACGTCAAAAGATGAAAATCTTTTTAAAGATGGGATCAATATTTAGTTATTTAACATTTCAAAGACGTCTTATTCATTTCCTATAAAGTGCGTCATTTCAAGTGTGACAATATATTCCTCTAAGAATTCCTCTAAGAATTCCTCTAAGAATTCCTCTAAGAATTCAAGAACTTTTAGAAGAAAATGTCCTATTTCATACTTGCAGAAAGATTACCGAATATGGGGAAAAAAAAGAAAGAAAAAAGTTTTTTAAAACATTGATTAAGAAATGATTGCTAGTAATGGTAATACTTTTCGAAAAAAAAATACTGGATGAAAACACCATCTTAATACGGTGACAATGCCCTACAGTAGTAACAGAAAATTAAAAATCCCAACAAATAAATTTACCTACCACATAGCTCCCTTCTTTTTGTACATATTATTTATTTACCTATAAATGCGCCAAGGATTCCACCCTCTAGGATCGGTGTCACCAGATCGCAAAAATGCGAGCAACAAGAAAGAAACCCTGCAATTATCGTCAAATAAAAGAGTTATCCGAGAGACATAACTCAAATACTCGAGGTGTTCACCAACCGAGGTCATATAAATCATTTAATGACAAGGAAGAGAAAAATATTTCGTTAACTGACATGGCTATTTTTAACAGTGTTTTCAGTAAATACAATAAGTATTTTTTATTCTTCTTGTTTCATTTTGTTATATTTGAGATATGACCAAGTTATATGTGGATAAAATATAATCTCCTCAGTAGGCAATATTCAAGGGGGACCTTCAAAAATCTAATAGAGTTCTTTATAAAGTACGAAACGACACTAGCCATAGACTATTCTCTCGCCATTTTCATGGCAAATGTTCATACGAGATGCATTCCACCAGTTCAAACTGGGTATGACGATAAACTACATCCGACAGCAGAGCTTCTGATCAGGAGGATTTAAAAAGCGTGGAACCAATTCTTAATGTCTGTTATTCCCAAGTCCATCCTAACACGGGGTGGTAGCACCCGTTTGGGTCCCATCTATAAGCAAATAGTACCCCCCAAATTGGGGGTCAAAACATTATGAAAATATAAAAATATATTTTATAGTAAAACACCACGACATTTTTTAAAATAAAAAAAAAAAGTTACCTTCAATATATTTTTTTAAATAAACAAAAGTATTACCAGTTATACATTTTTGTAAAAGGAATTACTAATACTCCCAAGAAAATTAAATTTCAGCATTAAATGACACATAACCTATTGATATGCACGTACACAGGGTCGATTAATCCTCATTCCTTTTGTATTCCATTAATAAGGAGGAAGTTACACGTAGACAGTTTCTTCCCAAGGCTATTAATTTGTGGAACAGACGCTTGTAACGTTGATTCCTACTTAACCCTCTTCATGCCTAAGATCATCCGTTATCTGTCAAACTAATATGCACTTATTTCCTCTCTCTTGCAACCTAATTCAGTGACCCTCTACCTTGAGTGGCTCTTGAGCCCTGTACTGGGTGAAAATAGTATAAAAAACACTTAATACAGTATCTCACACATTACATTGCATTTCAGTTACTTTATTATTTTTATTTGTGTATGTTATGTTTCCTGTTTTGTATCCTGTAGAGCCGGGTTCAAACTCTGGTCCATAGGCCCTAGAGGAGAATTATCATTTAAGTGATAGCACTTTTTTAGTATATGGGATATTCCTAGTAGGGCGATCTTCTGGGCAACTTGTATGTTGATGTTACGTGGGATACTGTTACGAAATTTGTCCATTCCTTTTCTCACGGGGTCAAGAACTCCGATTACTATTTGTAGTCTCAGTCTTCATTCCCTACATCCTGTTAATCTCGATCTCCAGGTCTTTATATTTGGTCAGTTTCTCGATAATTTTCATGGAGACGTTTGTCTCAGATGGTACTACTTTGTCAATAAGCATACACTTCCTGAATTTCTTATCAGGACTGTTGGCTTTTATTTCCCTGTCAGTTTGAATTGGCATGTCCCATAGGATAGTTACATCGTTATTTTGGGTAATTGTGTCTGGTCATACCATCTCTCAGTGGTTTCGATTTTGTGCTTCTTGCATATCTTCCAGTGCACATTGTTATGTCTGTGGGTATATTCATTTTTGCTAGTTCCGGACATCCTGAGATAATATGGTCGACAGTTTCATCATATTTTCCCGCTGATTCTGCATTTCGGGTTCGTTTCATCCTTGATTATGTGACGGTGATAGAATCTGGCTGCGGGTCTTTGGTCCTGAGCTGCAATAATCAGGTCTTCTGTCTAATCTTTCAACCCGGTGTTCTTCAGCCAATTATGTGGTTTCTGTTGATGCACATCTGCTTCTTTCGTTCTTTTCAGGCATTTGCCATGCAACGCCTTGACTTCCCAGTTGTTTTTTTTTCATTTCATTTGACCAAGGTGTTTTGCTTTACGTTTTACCGTTTGGTATATATAGCATTGGCTTCATTTTTTTGTTGGCAGAGTTTCAGGTATATTAAACAGTTTTTTGAAGAGTACAGCTTCTTTGTTGATAGAGTGGATTTGGTGTTTTACTATTTGAGGGAGAAGGGCGTTGGTTTTTGTGAGCTATGCTTCCAATCCAGTTGTTGTAATTTTTAGTGTTAGTTCAAGTTGTTATTTGCTGATTATTGGTACATTTATCGAGTCTCTCACCTAAGAATGAAAATAAAAGGTTTTAGTTTGGGAATTGTTGAAAGCATTGAATTATGATTACTGAGTAAGAAAGTAGCAGGAAACTTGAAGTAACAGATGTAGTTCCACTGAAAGGAGCCTGAGAATACCATAGACAATAAGGAATTTAAAAGGAAAATTGAAACAAAAAAAAAACGCTAACAATCCGAGAAGCGGAAAGAATTGAGATTTCTGTGGCAAATAATGAAAAAAGAAGGCTTGACAATTTGACACAAGATATATTAAAGGCAATAGGGACAGAGAGAATCAGCGATGTTACCTTCAAATAGAGACAGAGAGAAACAGCGATGTTACCTGGCAATAGGGAGAGATGGAAACAGCGATGTTACCTGCAAATAGGGATAGTGGGAAACCGATGTTACCTGCAAATGGGGACAAAGAGAAACAGCGATGTTACCTGCAAATAGGGACAAAGAGAAACGGCGATGTTACCTGCAAATAGGGACAAAGAGAAACGGCGATGTTACCTCGCAATAGGGACAGAGAGAAGCAGCGATGTTACCTGGCAATAGGGACAGCGAAAAACAGCGATGTTACCTGCAAATAGGGACAAAGAGAAACAGCGATGTTACCTCGCAATAGGGACAGAGAGAAGCAGCGATGTTACCTGGCAATAGGGACAGAAAAAACAGCGATGTTACCTGCAAATAGGAACAAAGAGAAACAGCGATGTTACCTCGCAATAGGGACAGAGAGAAGCAGCGATGTTACCTGGCAATAGGGACAGCGAAAAACAGCGATGTTACCTGCAAATAGGAACAAAGAGAAACAGCGATGTTACCTCGCAATAGGGACAGAGAGAAGCAGCGATGTTACCTGGCAATAGGGACAGCGAAAAACAGCGATGTTACCTGCAAATAGGGACCGAGAGAAACAGCGATGTTACCTGGCAATAGAGACAGAGAGAAGCAGCGATGTTACCTCGCAATAGGGATAGAGGGAAACAGCGATGGTACTTGGCAAAAGGGACAGAGGGAAACAGTGATGTTACCTGGCTAGATGGAAACAGGGAAACAGCGATGTTACCTGGCAAGAAAGACAGAGGGATTTATCGATGTTACCTGTCAAGTGGGACAGAGGGAAACAGCGAATAACCTACTTAACGTGTTTGTGTAAATGAATGACAATACAGGAATCGAAAGAGACAATAACAATACAAACATTGCTAAGAGAAATGGACGGGAAGTTGTGGAGATCCGCGATCGCCCACGTTTTGAAGGGGAACGACACACATATAAAGATGATTATGATGAAGAGAGAGAAGCAGTTCAAAAAGTGATGCTAACGCAGAAACTAAGCCCAATACACACAGTCTGATAAGGGTTTACAAGACACATCCAGCACAGCCAAATCTGTGCAATATCATGACAGGTTTTGATAAAACCAGCACATAATGTTACATGTGGGTCCCAGGTAAAGATATCTTCACTTCGGATAACCTAGTTTGTTTAAATGGTCTTCGATTGAGGGTGTTCCCAAGTATCTAGATATGACCTCCACCTCGCCGTGGCCGCCTCATCCTTTAAACATAGAAATAAAAAGCAAACTCTCGACGTAGAGGATATTAGCACGTACGTGAATGTAATGGACTCGACTGGAATTCGAACTCGGCTCTCCGATTCCTCAATCCAAGCCGCTATCCATTATTCGCGTATGGGACTTATATTTACAATTTAATAAAACTTTATTGTTAGTCACTTCAGTTTTGTATATAACTACTTTTTTTATCATTTGATACTCAAGCAAAGTGATAAAGCCACTAAGATGCAAGGAGTGAAGGAAACTTAAGAAATGTACTAAGGAAAAAGAACAATAAAAAGTACAGGATTCAAGGAGACGGGTGATGATAGTGTTTAATATTTTTGTTGTAAATTCTTGAGAACAAAAAATGTATAAATTCACTTTCATCATATGTTCAGTTTTTATTACAATTCTAATCATCGCTTTTTAAGACAATAATCATACTGATGAGTGAAAGTAGTTAATATAATAGCAGTACCAAGGGAAAAACTGTCACATACTGTTTTTTTTGTTTTTTACAGACACTAAGATTAAAGATTGTCCTTAAGCTAATTCTGAATGATGTCATCAATTGCTTTGATGCAGCTGGACACAGGTTTCACTTTTTGTTTTTTGAAGTATGTGGTATATTATTGTTGTGTAGGAACCTACCACCCCTCTTGAAGATGAACTCGTCTACAAACAAGGACGTTAAAGAGTGGCATGTCAAAAGACAGTGTCGGAGAAGTTCTGGGCTGACTTCCGACGTCTGTCGAACTCGCTGCGTTAGCAGAGAGGAACCCGGACGAGGCTTTGCCGAAGGGCAAGGTTTCGTCCGGGGAGGTAGACAGAGCCTGAACCCGTCTAATCGGCTTCAAAAGGCTATTTTTTTGGCCCAGCCTACGGGCTCGGAGAAACCCACAATAAAACCGGCCTTGTGCCATATTCGTTTCCTGTGGGTGAAATGATAAATACCGAGAAGTTCTGGGCTGAGTTAGTTATAGACTACTCAGGCGATTTCTGTACCAACTTACCAACCGAATAAACCCCATTTTATTGTTACATGTTATTTGGCGTTTGTCTTTATTAACCCCAAATTAACATCATAACAATTATATTACCAAGGTTATTATAATTGAGAAACAAAAGGTGTTTTTCTTCAAGGTATGTTATCAGCTGAAGTTAATGAAGTTTTATGAACTAAAATTGGAGGTTGAACCTTTCTATTTTTCTGTTTCATAACCAGAGATCTACTACACAAAAATAATATATAAGGCTTATATTCATAATTTAATAAAACATTATTTTTAGTCACTTTAGTTTTGCTTCTTTTTTTTGCATATAACTCATTCTTTATTATAATTTGACCTTCAAGCAAGGTGATAAAGCCACTAAGACTAAGAATGCCCGTCTACTAGGGCGGCTAGATGAGGCACATTTGTGTTTATTCAACACCGACAGAGCCCACCAGTATTTTATACTGCAACTATGCTGAGCGGCCTTAGTGACATACTAAGGAAAAAGGACGATAAAAAGCACAGGATTCAAGGAGACAGGTGATGATTGACGTTGCATTTAAATTTGAAAGTTTACAATTAGCAGGTAAGCAAGAAGCTAAATTTAGGCAGCAAAAAATTCATCAAAGTTTTATTAAATAATTAGTTCGTATACTGCATTTTGCTACTATCGCTTATACGAAAACGATTTTATTATATCTGTGTCTGTCCTTAAGCTTTTCTTCTTCTTCTTAGAAAAGAAGAAGAAGAAGAAGAAGAAGAAGAAGAAGAAGAAGAAATTTGGCACTTCCTGTAGCAATAGAATGGGCCGTTCATTTTCTCATTGGATTGTATATAACGTGTTCCACTTGAGGAAGAAGAACGAGGGGGTGAAGAAGAAGAACAAGAAGAAGAAGAACAAAAAGAAGAAGAAGAAGAAGAAGAAGAAGAAGAAGAAGAAAATATTTGTAGAAAAGACAAAGGGTATAAAGGTCTTTGACGACTGAAAAATATGAAGCTGCACAGAAGGAAATATAATATAAAAATGCCTCCAACTACACTTTTTCTTAAATTTTAAAATGTCTCCAAATCTACTCCTTTTCTTAAATTGACGAAGTACTAATTTGAGTACTACTACTACTACTACTACTACTACAAGAGAGAGAGAGAGAGAGAGAGAGAGAGAGAGAGAGAGAGAGAGAAATTTGACTATAACGACGAAGTAGTAATCTGGTGCCTAATCGTCCTCTGCCGAAAAATTCCTATCGTGTTGGCTACGCCGAATCAACGACGCCAAATGGGCTACGCTGGATCTCGTCCTATTCCCATCTCAGGTTCGTCAACATCCATAGTGCCAACCTCTGTTTTATGCCGAAACAATGCTTAGAAGACATTAATTAAAACTCAAGTATGTACTCCGTCAGGGCTATATGAAGTTTGGAATTCAGAGTTTTCCTTCTCCTATATTGCTTACGAACTACGACTGTAGAGTTCAGCTCATCCAGATATTTAACCCATAGCTGTAGGGAGAAGACCAGAATTTGAACTAGTTTCGATTTCTTACTTCGAGCCTTTAACCCTTACACTACCGGCACAATCCAAGCTAAGCTGACGAAAATCTCGAAAGGTGTCGCATATATAAAAAGAAATATTCGACCCGAGAGAAGCCCTGGTCCCTTGGGAAGTTTTTTCAAGGATGGAAGCGTTGGCAATTTCAATTGTTTCCATTCTAGATTTCACATCAATTACAGATTTCTTTCTCGTATTTCTCATCCTTTCATTTTAAATTTACATCATTTCTGAAAATAAAAATGACAGGACCGAATAATAAACTCAACTTACAACAGAAAGGACACGCTTTGAAAGAAATAAGATGACATTTAGAAAATAGAAAAGAACAAAAAAATATTGTTGGCTATATTCACTGGGATGCAGTCATGGAAAAGGACGACACATTCACAAGCATCAGAATTTATGATGTTTCCAGCGGTTCATGAAATTCAAGATGGCCAAAAATCTTGAAGCGGATCAGGGGAGATAAATCAAACTTCCTGGCATTCAAGACTAAAACCAGTGCTGTTTTCTATTACAGAAGATTAAAAAATATTGCAAGTCCTTTATTTTTTCTTGTTTTTGAACAATTCAAATGTCATAAATGCTAGACACTATTGCATATTTTAGAATTTATTACGTGAATTTTGTCAGGTGATGTTGGCGTTATTAATGGTCGATGAAAGGAAGGAATGCGAGAAATATGGTATATTTTGAAATAAAGAAAGAACATCGATAAAGAAGGAGAAAAGAATAAAAAAAGGGAAATTGATAATGGAAGAGAAAGAAAGAACAACGATCACTGAGAATAAATAAAAGAACAACAGTAATAGGGGAGAAAAACAAAAGAAAGGACATCCATAATGAAGAAGAAAGAAAGAAAGAACATCAGTAATGGGGGAGAAAAAGTAAATAAGAAAGAAAGAAAGAAAGAAAGATCAGTGATAATGAAGAAGAAAGAAAGAACGTCGATAATTGAGAAAAAAGAAAGAAAAAGAAAGAAAAAACGAACATCACTAATAGAGGAGAAAAATCTAAGAAAGAAAGAAAGGACATCGATATTGCAAAAGAGAGAAAGAAAACCGATAATTAAGAAGAAAGATTAAAAGAAAGAAAAAAGAACATCTGTAATAGAGGAGAAAGAAAGAACGAAAGAAAGAAAGAAAAAGTATAGTGTTAATGAAAAAGTCAAAAAAAGACCAGCGGTAATTGAGAAGAAAGAAAAAACACCATTAATGAAGTAGAAAAAGTGAGATAGAAAGAAAGGACATAGGTAATGAAGAAAAAAGGAAGAACAAAGATAATTGAGAAGGAAAAAAGGAAGAAAGAACATGAGTAATGGAAAAGAATAAAGAAAGAGAGAAAGATATCCATAATGAAAAGAAAGAAAGAACATCGATAATTAAGAAAAAAGAAAGAAAGAAAGGAAGAAAGAAAGAAAGAAAGAAAGAAAGAAAAAAGAACATCACTAATGGAGCAGGAAAAAGTAAGAAAGAAAGAAAGAAATAACATTGATAATATAGACGAATGAAAGAAAAAACATTATTAATGAAGAAGAAAAAGTAAGAAGGAACGAAAGCAAAAACTTTAGTAAAGGAGAAGAAAAAGTGAGAATAAAAGAAAGAAAGAACGAAGATCAATAATGAAGAAAAAAATACAAAAGATAACTGAAAAGAAAGAAAGAAAGAAAGAAAATAGAAAGAAATAAAGAAAGAAAGGAAAAAAGAACGAAAGAAAGAAAGGACATTGATAATGTCGAACAAAGAAAGAACAACAATAACTGAGAAGGAAAAAAGAAGCAAAGAACATCATTAATGGCGGAGAAAAAGTAAGTAAGTAAGAAAGAAAGAAAGAAAGAAAGAAAGAAAGAAAGAACGAACGAACGAACGAACGAACGAAAGGACATTGATAATGAAGAATAGTAGTAATAGAATAGAAAGAAAGACAGAAAGAAAGAAAGAAAGAAAGATAGAAAGAAAGAAGGAAAGAACATCGATAATTGAGAGGAAAGAAAGGACATGAATAACAGAGAAAAAAGATAGAAAGAAAGAGAGAGTAAATGAGACAGAGAAAGAAAGAAAGAGAGAGAGAGAGAGTGAAATAAAGAAATAAAGAAAGAAATAAAGAAAGAAGGGAATGTAAACATAAAAATATCGACAAATGAAGGTAAAAGAAAAGAAATACAATTTTTTTTAAAGAAAAGTGAATACCGGAAGAAAATAACGAAGGAAGAAAGAAAGAAAGAAAAAAAGAAAGAAAGAAAGAAAGAAAAGTGCAAATATAAAAATATGGCAAAATACCGATAAAAAAGAAAAAGAAAAAAAATCGACAATCGTTTAAAAATAACTTAATTTAAAATAATTCTTAAAAAAAAAAAAAAAATAGAAAAAGAAAATAACTAGAAAAGGGAAATAAACAGAGAGAAAGAAACTGTAGAAAGATTTTACACGTGTACAAAAATAATTTTGTTTTTCTTTTCACAAACAAGAACTTTCAGAAGAAGAATGAAAGGAAAGAGAGAAAGGAAAGAAAGAAAAGCAAATAGTTCAAGCAACGACATGTTTATTTATGATCTCTCGCCGGATGGAGATCCGGTGTCGGTCTCCTTGCAAAAGGAGCCTGCACGCTAAAGATGAAATATGTTTCTGCAAATCCCTATCATCTGACGGTTCATATTGAGCACAAATGGTGAGACAGAATTTCCGGAAAAGACAAACCGAAAAAAATAAAAAAAGTAAACTAAAACACTTGAAATAAATATTATAAGTCAATAATCTGTGTTAAGATTTGAGCAACACACACTCTCTTATTCTCAAACAAAACATCTTCATTTCTGGGGTGAGGAGTTATCATTATTGACACCACTGACTATTATCCTCATCTTTATTATTGTTATCACAAATTCAAACATTAACGCCTTACTCCACTAGGCCACTGTCTAATGACATTAACCTAATGAATTAAAGCATTGGTACGTGCATTTGGTGACATAGCAAAGGTGAGTTCAATCCCTAGGATGGGCAGTGTGTACTTGGACTCAGTTTAAACGAAGGCGAGAAATAACTGATCAGTAGTAAAAATAAGAATTAGACGAGATATCCATAGACATGGCCAGTGAGACGAGAACGGCCTACCCCTGTAGATTAAGTAAAGGATTCAGTTCGGAATTTCCTGTAGGTTACCTGATTCGACATACACCTGATGAAGGCCGGGGTGGAGGCACAACGACCGAAACGGTGTAATAACAACAACAAAGATGAGGACAACAGTTCGAATATAAATAGTGCAAATAAGCTGATGGAAATGTTTTCAGCTTCCTTTTATTTACATTCGGATTATTGTCCTTATCTTTGTTGTTATTATTATTAATCCAACATTTCGGCCGCCGGCTGTCACGATAAACTGTCCAAAAAATAAGACATACGACCTGTTTACGCAAGCATAAAAAAGGTAGGTTTTGGATCGGTTTATTCTAGAGTCAAAAAGTCATATATAGGTCCTTCTTTTTGACAGTGATTTTCACTTTGTACAAGGCCTGGGGGGCACTCGAGGTAGAGGGTTACTGTAAGAGGCTGTTTATGCGGATAGGCGAGCAAGATAACGGTTAACTCTAGACTTGAACAGGTTAAGATTGTAGTGATCGGGGAAATACCCACTTGGGAGTCGGTTCCCCAGAGCAGTGGTTCACAGAAAGAAGCTGCCGAGGGACTGACCAGCTCCCCAGCTCCCTTCATATGGTGATTTCCTATGCATAACCTAGATGTGGTACAAGGCCGAAAGTATGGCGCATCCAGTGAAGATCAAACCCTCTATTCAGTCATAATTGATTTAGTGAGACAAGCTTTTTTTGACAGTGAGGGTTAACCTTTACAAAGCCCAGGGGCCACTTGATGCAGAGGGTTACGTTAAGAGGCCATTTGTGTCTATAGGTGAGGGAGACAACAATTAACCCTATCCCTGAATATGTTCAGATTGTAGTCATCAAGGAAACATCCTCTTGGGAGTCGCTCCAGAGCAGTCGTTCACGGAAAGAAGCTGTTTGGGTTGAACTTATTTCTCACCAATGGAATTCGGAGAGAATGAGGGTGGTTTGTTATAATGAGGGCGGCATAGCGGGTCTTGGCCGTGAAGACACTAGAGCCAGAAACTTAGAATCAAAAACGGCAGATTTTGTTCAGGTTTATGCCAGAGTCTGAAAATATTCACACGGAATGTGGACACTTGAGGTTGGGAGAATCTTACACATCTGGAGGGGATGCAGTCCAAGTACTCTAAACTCTGCCAACATAGCAAAGATAATGTATAGTAGGTATATATTTCAGCCTGTTCCTTTTTTTTCCTCTCTTCATCTTATATACATATACATAGTCCGCCAAAAAAAAATGTATACACACTTTTGGAAAGGAAAAACTTGTAAACGTAGTTGTATCAAATTGCGATAACACTGTGTACTATGGGGGACCATAAAAAATGTTGTGTATCACAGTGGGGCAAGAAATGACTTATAAATTTTAACGCCTACAAAAACAAAACTGCTCTTTTTTAACTACCATAGAGAAACTTATCTGCCTGCCGACAGCAAGGCTGAGTCCTGGAGAGCAATATACTACGCCTTCTCGCCCTTTTGTTTTCAACTGTTCTTGAGGTGGAGCGACTATATCGAATCAATAGCTGCATCTACTGCAAGGAAATTTGGATCACTGTGTCGTGCCAGAAATTTGTTCTCGTCTGAGTCCATATTGTACATTTACAACTCTGTCATTCGTCCGTGCATTGAATGCTGCTGCCATATCTGGTCAGGTGCTCCTGCTATTCATCTCGAGGTTCTTGACAAAATCCAAAGAAGGATCTGCAATGTAATCGATTCTGACCAGGCATGTCGATTTCAGTCACTTTCTCACAGACATGGCAATGTTTTCCCTCTGTCTTTTCTATAAATATTTTTATAACAATTGCTCTGACAAGCGTTTTTACCTGTTGACCCGACTACATGAATTTAAGCGTGCTACTAGATTGATATCTAGGCCCCAACCTTTTTATTGTGGTAATAGCTAAATGCAAACGCCAATTCTATTCCAACAGTTTATTTTCTCGCACTTCCCGCCTGTGGAACTCCCTTCCATTTACTTTTCAAAAATCTACAAAAATTTAAATGCAATGTCAATCGCCATCTTCTTGAATCCTGTTCATCTTTTGTCCTTTCCTCAATCTTCCCTATACTCAATCTTTTCTCTCACTTTCATTCTCTGCAAACCCCTGCGTATTAGTGGTATTGGCGCCTTGTTTGGGGTGAAATGATAAAAAATCGACTACATTGGTGGTCCTTATACGAGAAATTGAAAATGCATGTGCAGCAATTCCACTGGACACTTTGGTCAACGTTGCCCAAGCAGGAGTTCGCCGTTCTTATAAATGTCTGGAGTCTGAAGGCCACCACATCTAAAGGCATCTCTTGGGATTGAGTCCAAAGGTATCTTGTATTAATCTCATGATGTCTGAATAAATTTAGTATCACAATATCTATACAAGTTTTTCCTTTCCTGAAGTGTATATACATTTTGGTAGACACCATATGTATAGGAGACACGGTGGAGTAATGGATAGCGGCTCGGATTGAGGAATCGGAGAGCCGAGTTCGAATTCCAGTCTAATACATTACATTCACTTACGTGGTAATACCCTTGAGAAAGGGTATTAACACGTAAAAGGTATTAGTCCTCTTCTACCTCGAGCTATGGGTAAATATTGCACCTTCAAAAAGTGTACTTGGTTTTGCACAAATACCACTATAATCAAATCGTATGTGGTAGTGTCTGGGCTGTCAGGAACTGAGCTGCTTGACCCTCATACGACGGGAGAATCCACCATATATATATATATATATATATATATATATATATATGTGTGTGTACACAAACACAACCTTGTGCAAAATAACCGAAACAAAACAATAATTCCATTATTATTTACATTTTTAAAAATATTTCCAATGAAACATGTTAGTACTTCGTCTGTTCCACGAAGTTGGTTCTTGCAGATTGACCACAAATTCTCGATTTAATTTAAATCAAGAGAGTTTCCGGGCCAGTCTATAGTACTTTGATTTGCTCACTGGTAAGGCTTATCAGTGTGTTTGTGCAGTGTTACAATTTTCGTACGCTTCCTTGGAGCAACGTCCATCGCAGATAATTGCCGTAGGACAACTAATCGACAGTCTAGGCAATAGTGTTTGGCGTGATGAAAATCTGCTGCAATTACGGATGATGCAATATTTTTCAAGGCCTAACAAATTTCATCATACACTCCGAAAACTGATTCACATTACCGCACACCACTGCACCTAATCTGAGGAAAAAATAGAAATCGGTTACACACTCTCACTCTAATGTGTCTAAAACTGACCCTGTGGTAAAGGAAACTAAAGCAGTTGTTTCAAATTTCACAAGATATATATATATATATATGTATATATATATATATATATATATATATATATATATATATATATATATATATATATAAACATTTTCAGAATAGATTTTTATTAATCCGATAGAGTCTTATTACTTTAAACGTTTTTTTTATTGGATACTCGTATTTGAGTAGACGCTCCGTTTATTTATTAAACTGTATATTTATTTATTCATATCCTACCAGAGAGCGTAATATTTTTTTTAATAAGATTTCTCGAATATTCAGGACGATAGACAAAAATAAATAATTATGCTGTTTAATAAATAAACGGATCGTCTACTGAAATACGAGAATCCATTAAAAAATAATGTTTGAAGTGATAAATGTGCATTAAGTTTTTAATATAATTTTCTTTGTTTTCTTATAATTGTCCGAATGTTCTCTTTATCCGAGCGCTTTGAGGATGATTTTATTTTTTACTTTTTAATGAATGTATGGCTTGTTTTATGCATGTATCTAGATTTATAGGTATGTTTCCAAACACGGTCAGCATATTGTGGCCGTGTTCATAGCTGATATTATTGAATGTTGGCCTTTTCTTTTCTTTTTTTTTTTTTTATTAATAATGCTTCCATTATTTTGTAGCCTTCTTAGATGTGGATGAGGCTATTATATTTGTATTATCAACAAGTATGTTGCGGATGGAATTTGATAGTTCACCATGTGCATTTAAGTAAGACCTAATTGTGCACTAGTCAGATAGGTGTAAGCTGAGTCTTCTTGTTAGGCATGTTGAAGTATATCCAATATATTTATTTGTGAATACTACATAGTTCCATATATATATATATATATATATATATATATATATATATATATGTGTGTGTGTGTGTGTGTGTGTGTGTGTGTGTGTGCAAATATATAGAAAAATA